CTCAATTCGTCAGAATCTTTTTTTTACAATATATTTTACTAGCGACTTACCCTCATTACGCTCGGATGCGTCCCTAAGTACGAATAGTTCCGTAATATATTATTTTCATTTAACTCCATTGGTTTACTCGGCGCACGTAAGTTCTCAGTCGGCGTGATTTTTTCCGACATCTTCAAGTTCAGCTAATTTACATAAAACCTTAATGAATTATTATTACCTAAACCATCCTCATGAATCATTCCGTCCGGTGCCGGAAACGATATGAAAATCCATTCGGCAGTTGAGTTTATCGCGTTCAGACAGACAGAGACGCAAGTACACACTTTTATATTATCTATAGTGATATTACATTTTATTTCAATAGATCAAGTAGATCTAGAAGTGTACTAATTATTTACATAATACTTATAACTTATAGCTAATTTGAAAAAATCAGTTTTCTATTTTAATACATTTCTTTTGTATCTGAAAAATGTCTGTATCTGAAAAATGCGTATGAAATTCAATCATTTTCATGAATAGCTAGTTTAATAGGCGGCTGTCAAGTGCAGGGTCAGACTGTTACTTTTTTATTAGCTTTCCATTCTAAAAAGTCTCAATACACGAGCATAACATCCTATTTTTCACCTTTAATTACATTTTTGACTTGCTCTTACCTGTGGGTTTACGTGCAGTAAAAGTATCCAATCTTTAAAATTAATTGGATTTTTTTGTCAAATGTGTTCATTTAATTCTAAAAAGATCTAAAAAATAATTTTGGCAAAAATAATCGCATAGTAATCAGTCCTTTTAAACGTTCCACTGCTGCGCATAGGCAACCCTCCAATACATGGGGGATCAGATCATAGTCTACCACACTGGCCAAGTGCAGGTTGGCGGGTGTCTTTCGAAAATTAAATGCATATCCTTTGAATATCATATGAATATATCAACCAATAGCTGTAACTTAAAATCTACATAGCTATCAAAATGCAGGCATGTCGTAGCTTCACACTGCAAGGTAGAATTCATATGTTGGGACAAATAAATAAATAGTTGGGACATTAACACACATCACCATCTAGTTCCATGGTAAGCTACATGGCTTGTATTATGTTTATGAGATAGTTGTTACACTACACATTTAAAATTTTAAATATATACATATTATAAATACCCTTTTTTTTATGTCGGGAAATGCATTTACGCATACCACCTGATCCCCCAGGTGGTGATGTGGGGCTCACCGGCTAGAAGAGCCGGTACTACCCACTAAAACCCGACATTCCCCTCCCCTCCGCCTTAATGGGACGCCGCAGGATCGCTTGCGCATAACTACTACGGCGCCCCGGCGGCAAGTCTGCCTAAATAGGCAGACCACCAAACCAATGGGGCTGCTCCACAGTCAACTCTGCTACGCCATAGAGGTACCCGGAGCAGCCCCATTAAACCTAACCACCGCCCAACGATGTGGGCCACCTCCAATCGGCTGCAGAGGACAGGGAGAGCGGCAACGAAACACCGACACTCCTCTTCCCCTGCAGCCCCACCGCGTCCGCCATCAAACGGTGGCGGCCCCGTCTAGGCCGCGGAAGGTAGGGAGAACGGCGCACCGAAATACCGGCACTCCTCTCCCGCCGCGGCCTACTCCTCCGCCGGATGCGGGCCTGCGACCACAGTTCCGCAACCGGCACCCATCATCCGGTTGTGGGACCAAGCGGTCCCACCACCGGTGGCCGCAACGTCTTCGGCTCGAGTCCTAGACGAGCGGCCTCACCCAAGCCATTTGGTCCGCGCCGGATTTCTCCGGTACCACCCGCCGCCCTAAGCGGGTGGCATTCCCCTATCCGCCACCTGGGGACGCGCCCGGTAGGAGTTGGCTTCTCCCCCGGGATATTATAAATACCCCTGACTGGAGTAAAAACATTCGTGCTCATCACACAAATGAATGCCCCAGCGAGACTCGAACCCGCGACCGCTGACACAACAAGTAGGGTAACAAATTGAGCCAAATGTTTAGTCAAAATCGGAATATTATTAGTTTTCTTCTCACACTTTGTCTAAAATTGATATAAATGATTATTAATATTATGATGAGTTATTTTAAAACATTATAATATAGTATGGCCTCAAAGCCACTCTTTTTTACTTCGTTTTTGAGCTTGTGATATTTTAGCACTGTTGCAACAGTAAAAAATAATAAATATAAAAAAAAATATGTTAGTGATCATTCGAACTTAAAAACTCGAGTACCTACGCTTTGTTATATAGAAAGGTAAAAATATGTTGTACTAAAAATACTATGAAAATTTATGTACATTGGTAGCGTTCCTATGTATCAGAATAATATGAAAAATAAAAAGATTCACTAAACATAATTATAAAAAGGGTAAGCTATTACACAAGCACTTCGCTATAAAACAACTCTAACATTATAAGAGTTCAAATGATTATTTCACGTTTACATCAATCTCTGTTGTTAGATAATATACTTTATTGCGCTAAAACAACGTTTCTTTTAGTTAAGCAAGTATTTAAATAAATAGTAGATAATGATGTACGCGCAACATTGAGTGTTTTGCTTAACTGTCAGCCCTGGCCTCATAAACATGGCAACCCTTGTTATGTTTATGTACTCATTCATTTAGGTTTTGTCAATTATACAGGCATACCAACTTGATTTTATGGCGTCGACCGTTGTTACAAAAATTTAAAAAAGTCCTTAGTTAAATGTACTAAAGCTAGAATCATACTAATATTATAAATACGAAAGTTTGTGATTACGTATAGATGTCTGGATGTATAGATGTATGGATGTTTGTTACTCTTTCAGGCAAAAACTATTGAATGGATTTTATTTAAACTTTATACTAATATAGCTCATACATCAGAATAACAAATAGGTTTCTTTTTATCCCGGAAAAATGTATAGTGCCCGTGGGATAGATTTGTTTTTGTTTTCATGATAAGCTAAATAAAGAAAAGTAATTTAAAGTAAGAATTAAAAAATTTTTTTATACATTTATCTATAATCTTTTTGTCAGTATAGCTCTTTGAAAATGGCTGATAAAATTTTTAAACTGATTATTATATTTCATTTTGCTTTTAGAAAACTGAAAATTGTATGAGAATATACTTAATCGTTACGTTAAATAAATGTAAGCGATTGTGAAATATCATCATCTTGTCTAAGCCCCTACTATCCATACTAATATTATAAATGTGAAAGTGTGTTTTTTTGTTTGTCTTTCTTTCACGTCGAAACGGCTAGGCCAATTGGCGTCATTTTTTGTGTGGAGATAGTTGGAGGGCTGGAGAGTGACATAGGCTACTTTTTACCGCGGAAGATTATCTCTTTCCCACGGCAAAACACGTTATAATACAATCCAAAAAAATATTTATGATCAGAATTACTTGAAACTTGGTAATAATACTCTTAAATACAATGAATCAAATACGTGTTTTAGCATTTTTCAAAATTCATCTCATATGGGAGGAAAATAGCGGACGAAAGTTTGTATGAAACCTACCTTTTTAGAGTTTTTTTTTGTAATTTGTGCTAGTCTTAAATATATTTTACTTATACAGACGTTAGACGTGCCAATGTCATTTTTTAAATAACCATTTTACTTTACGTAAGTTTTCATACAATTTTACGACAGCCTTTATAAGGGCAGCGTGGTCAATATATAAAATAATAGTTAAAATCATCCCCTATTGTACCTATACCACCTTGAGGGATGATTTTTCAAAAACAAAAAAGCGCTAATACACCACTAACTATACAAACTATCTAACCACTAACTATATAAACACTAATTCAAATCTTTCAAGATTTATTTTCGCAACAATAGCCAATGTCTATCTCCAAGTTCCCATCTTTTTCTATATGAAAATTCATCAAAATTGGTTCAACGATGTTTGCGTAAAAACGTAACAGATACACAAACAGACAAAAAGAGTTACCTTCGCCTTTATTATATTTAATGCTTATTAGTTTGGATGGTACCTATAACATACATACTAAAATGTCTGCCAATTCATCTTGCAATTTAAATTAAATTTATTTCTATAATTTATTCCTCATCTTCCTTTAACCTTTTAGTACGTTTTAAGTGCATATTTACATATTAACAAGTGTTTGGCATTAATTAGGGGGACGATGGGGGAATTGCGGACGCGGGGTAAATACGGACTAACATATATCTACTCTATACCTGCCGCCCGCGTCCCGCCGCCGCGATCACGCGTTACGTTCCGCCATCTTGAGTGCCCACTAAACATTCCCGACAGACGGCTGCGCACACGTTTCAAGGTAATTAAAATTTTACATTTTTTGTGATTTTGATGTAATTTTTGGTATAAAGTATTTTGAGTGTTATTCAAAAAGAATAAGTGTCAGTAAGAATGTCATATTTTCTGTCGATTGCGATGTTAATGACGAGTAAATAGTACAACCGTTTGTCTTGGTAAATTTTGTTAACCTAAAAATTTTGTTGTTGTACTTTTTCGAACTCGTTTGGGTCAATTGCGGACAAATGGCCTGGGGTAAATACGGACGTCCGTAATTACCCCATTATTTATCAAAACCTATTATTTTATATAAATTTATATTCTTTTTTGTAATTAACCTATTATATATCAAAACCTATAGAAATAATTCTATATTCCAGATGCCTCGAAAATATATAAAGAAAAAACTACCTACTTACACCATTGAAACTTTACAAAGAGCTGTGCAAGAAATTAAAGACAAAAAGACTCCTTTTCGACAGGTGGCAGAGAAGTATGGCATTCCCAGAGCGACGCTTTTTGATCAAGTGAAAAAAGCCTGTATTAGTACCATGCCAAAAAGAGGAAAGAAATCAGTTTTTAATGAATCTCAAGAAAATGAACTGGTCGAATTTATTTTAAAATGTTGTAAAGCCTTCTTTGGGATAACAATTCCTACCTTAAGAAAAATAGCCTTTGATTTTGCCGCTGCTAATAACATAGCAAATGACTTCAATAAAGATACCAAAATGGCAGGTATAGATTGGTATTACAATTTTATGGCGAGACACCCCAATATATCACTTCGCAGACCAGAAGCTACTTCAATAAATAGAATCACAGCATTTAATCAAGAAGAAATAGATATATTTTTTGAAAATTTAAAAACACTCATGGTAAAATACCAATTTAAGTCAAATTCAATCTACAATGTTGATGAAACGGGGATTAGTACTGTACAACGAAATTCCAGGATTCTCGCACCGAAAGGTTTAAGACAAGTAGGTAAATGTACTAGCGCAGAACGTGGTTCCTTGACCACAGTTATAAATTGTTTCAATGCTGGAGGCACATACATTCCCCCATTTTTTATATTTAAAAGAAAGCGGATGAATGCACTGCTTATGAAGGACAGTAACAGTAACATGGTAGCTTGTGTTTCTGACTCAGGCTGGATAACTGAATCAATTTTCGTTGATTGGCTTCAGCATTTCAAAGCATTTGCGAAACCATCTGCAGATGAACCTATTTTGCTTATACTGGACAACCATGAAAGCCACATTAGTTTGAGAGCTCATGAATTTTGTCGCAAGAATTTTATACATGTTTTAACTTTGCCTCCTCACACATCCCATAAAATGCAGCCTTTAGATTTAACTTTCCATGGCCCACTAAAAACAGCATATAACAGGGAATGTGAATCCTTCATGGTCAACCATCCAGGAACCAAAATTACGGCATATGATGTTGTAGGCCTTTATACAAAGGCTTTTAATAGAACGACAAGTATTGATAAAGCTATGAATGGTTTTAGGTCTGCTGGAATTTGTCCAATGGATCGAGATAAATTTAAAAACACTTTTGAAAGTTTTGGTGATATGTTTTCATCAGTCCCTCCTCTTGAACAACGGATACAAACAAATACCAACAATTCAAGCCAAAATGAGTCCCAGAATGAATCTCATGTTGTCTGTGATGCTGCCAATCAAAATATTTCTAATCCAATAGAATTTCAGGAAATATTTCAACTTTCCAATAATGATGCCAACCTTGACGATTTAAACGAAACAATACCTACGTCTGCATTAGTGGATGATGTTAGTGAAGCTGGTGTTAATCAAAGTATAACAAGTCAAACTTGTCCATCTGCCTTAGTACCACTTAGTGATATAGTGCAAGTTCCAACTATAAAACCTACTCGTACAAAACGATTAGTTAAAAAGAAACACTCCATTATTTTCACCAGCACACAGGAAAAAGTAAACCTAGAGCAAAAAGAACAAAAGAAAATAGAAAGAAAGAGAAAGAACCTAGAACAAAAGAAGACCAAAACTACAAATAAAAGACCAAAACTGACTAAAGAAAAACGACCAAAAGATTTAAGAAACTTAAAAAAAATTGAATGTGATAAAGAAAATGATGAATATTTCTGCATTTATTGCCAGGAAAAGTATTTTGACCCACCCACCGAAGACTGGATTATGTGTTTAAAATGCAAGAATTGGGCACATGAAAATTGCAGTGCTGGGTCTTCTTCAAGAGGCTACGTTTGCGAATTCTGCAAATGAAATTGGAGCTCGTCCGTAAATACCCCATGTTGTCCGCAATTAACCCAGCACTGGTCCGTATTTACCCCAAGAGCTAAGGGTAATTACGGACATATATGTTTTTGTTTTTGATTAAAATTTAATAAATGTTGATGGATCTCATTTAATAATTATTGTTGATTTAATAGGTAAATAGCTATAGTTTAATAATTAATAAAGACAGACTGATTATTATTAATAGTTTGAATTTTATTTTTGATTCCGCTTAAGCGTCCGCAATTCCCCCACCTTCCCCTAATGCTCGTAATTTATTGCGACCTTTGATACAAGCCTTATTATTTACCTTTATATTGCTATGTAGAATTAAAATACATAAATATATACTTTGTATCTATATACAAAACATATTTTAACACAATATTTTTGTTTGATTTACGATACTCAAATTGCTATTTATTTTATTTAAGTATAAAGTAATAATTTGAAGATAGTTTCTATTTAATCAATTTGTGCCTAAATATCGAGATAATAACGTAATTTAGTTTTACAGAATTCTATTATGTGGATATCGTAAAGAAAATATATACAGTGCCTAAAATAAAATACTATGTATAAACATTGGCAGTGGTAACGCGCTCGCTTGGAAAACCATCAGAATCATTTCTAACATGATTACCACTTACCTTACGGTGAAGGAAAACATCGTGATGAAACCTGTATGTTTGAGAGAACGTAACAAGTTTTCGAATGACATGTGAAGTCTGCCTACCCGCACTTGGCCAGCATGGTGAACTATAGAATGATCCCCCAAGTATTGAAGGGTGGCTGCTGAGCACGAGCAGTGGGACGTTAAAAAGGACTGAATACATAATAACAAAAAAAATATCGTATAAATAAACATTATAAAACATTCTATATCGAATAAAACAGAATTAAGAATTAAAGTTAAAAGAGTAATTTTTCCCTAGTGTTTTACTGATACCCTCCAAAACAAAGGTATTTAAAGAAAAGTACAAAATGAATATTTATACATTTAAAACATTAATTTAATTTACCGATGAATGCGAAACGTTAATCATGTAAACAAGGTACTTTATATGTACAATAATATTATTGTACGAGGTTCGGTGTTTAATGAAGAGAATTTAATTGTCGGATGACTTATTATGTACATATATATACATATATATCCATATTATACTAGTGACACGTCTTCGCTTCGCTTGAGATGATAATATACCTCGAAGCAAAAAAACTCTACAATTTTTATTTTCTTGAGAGAAGCAGATTCTTATTAAAACCTTTAACCTCATAAAATCCTATTAAATATGGCTAAGTCTTCGAGGAAAATATCATTAACAAACCAACCACTAAATACATATATAAATTATATGGTTGTCTTGGAACCCATATAATAACCTTAGTTCTAACGTTTTGCCCAAATATTCCTCAAGAACAACATAATGGTGTGTGATCAATATGCCTATACCATTCTCCTATCTAAAAACCTTATAAAAATATATTCCTCAAATTTTTGCTCCATAAAAAAATTACAAACAATTTATTTTCACTTCTACATATACTCGAATTGCGTAGAAATATAAAAATAGCGCCTTTCAGTGATTCGAGAAGCATAATATAAATAAACTAGCGACTCAGCCTGACTTCGCTCGGTTTCGTCCCTAGAGTGATTCCCCACACAAACTTTCATCCTAATTTTTACCCAGGATCTAAAACTATCTTCTTACCAAATTTCATCTAAATCGGTCTAGTAGTTTTTAGTTTATTCGTTACAAACATACAAAAATACAAATCGTTCCTCTTTATAATATTACGCACGCTTAATATATTTTTATTACAATAACCTTAAAACATGTATACCAAGTTGAAATAAATAAATTTCAATCTTTCAATTTGAATCTTATAAATATGAGATACATATATCTTTTGAATAGCTTTTCAGAGTTGATTTCCGTCTTCCACCCACCCATTGCTTTCCACATATAACTTGAGGTTTATTGTTTGAGATTGAAATTTGTTCCAATGTAGCTCGCGTTTCTTTGATTAGGCACCTGACGTATTATTATCATTTATATAAAACGGATTTGATTTCTGTGCCAGTAAATTAAATTCCAGTGCCAAATTAGATGAGAAATATAATTTTTACTACAACTGTGTGTACTTGTTAAAAAAAAAACATCTAAATTTATGTAAGCAGGTATTAAAAAATACGAATAATTTGTTAACAATCTTAATTTTAATATTTTATATTATAATGATTCAAAATAGGTTCTTATCACGAACAAAGAAGAATTAGTTTAAATAAATGTCAATAAATGACGTTATATGTATCGATTTGATATTGAAGTTGTGTTAAAAAGCTAATGAAATAGATTTCTAAGAGGTGTACTTGGTGTATTTATGATATAGGTTATTGTTTTAAAAAATATTCTAAGTAAAGTGAAACGACATAATGCTTCTGTAAATTATGATTATTGAAATATCAGCATTCAGATGATGGGTTTGTAGAGTATATTAACAGATGGCGCTTTTACATTTTATAAATTGTTTATCATGGTTAAAAAAAAATTAAGTCACTGATTTTTTTTTATTCGAATGCAGGATGAATTCTACAATACTTAAAAAAATTGTTTCTCTATCTGTTTGTCTGTTTGTACGTACTGATCTCCGAACCTGTTGGACCGATTTAAATGAAATTTTGCATGGTGGTATCTCATATCCCCTGTCAACATTTCATCCCGGAAAATGAAAGAGTTCCCTTGGGACAGTTAAAAAACTATAGTAACTTATAAAACTTAGTACACAACAACTTATTAAACACTTACTTATATAACACCTAATTTAGTAAAATTTGGCATGCTGATACCTTATATTACTGGTCAAATAATAGTCTAATTCTCATCCCGGAAAAATATACGGTTTCCGAGGGATAGATTTGTTTTTAAATAAAACTATCTTTTCGGATTTATTCGCGAATTAAGTTAAAATGTCAAGTATTCGCGAAAATCTAAGATAGATTTGTTTTTGTTTTAAAAATATATATCATACAAATATCTACCACAAAACCATACAACGAATCGGTTAAACAAAGCTCTCAAAATTATCTAACTAAAACAGGAAAACTTATTTACCGACATCTACATTCTATCACTTCATTATTGAAACAGAGTCCTAAAGGTATCCCAATCAATCGGGGCATTCGACCAAACACTTGGTACACATTGATAACCAATGTAAGAAGAGACCCTATTTCGCGCCACCCTCACGTATATAGCTCATTATCAACAAGAAAATATCAGTTTATGTTTTTAGCTACAACACTATTATAAATGCGAAATTGTGTATTTGTGTTTAATAATAATATGTTGGGACATTAATACACAGCACCATCTAGTTCCATGGTAAGCTACGAAGCTATAATACACTACACATATATAAACTTTAAATACATACATATTATAAATATAAACAAGCATGACTGGAGTACAAACATTCGTGCTCATCACACAATGAATGCTCCCAGCGGGACTCGAACCAGCGACCGCTGGCACAGCAAGTAGGGTTAACACACCGAGTCAAACGTGTCGTGTTTGTTAAAAATTTACACTGAAATGGCTTAAAGGATTTGGATAAAACTCAGATAGATAATGAGGAGTAGGTAATACATAGGACTCTATTAGTAATTAAATTAGCTAAAAGGTGGCGCTGCTTGTATACTTGTTACAGACAGTGCCTACACACTTTTTACAAAAAAGATTTTTGAAATTCAAAAATGACACTAAAGTACCTTACAATATTTATTGATTTTTATTTCTAAACATTTAATCATTTTATTTATTAAGTATCATAATTAAATATAGCAATGTCTTTGAGACGTCTATAACCTTAGTATCTCTCGTGACCATGATTGCTGTAAAGCATTCGAAACGTCGCGTCGGGAACCAAAATAAATCCGTGAAATAATCCGAAAAGATAGTTTTATTTTAAAATGTCTAATATTTGCGTAAATCTAAGAAAGTATTATACTCTACATATTTAAAATCTTTTCGTAACGCAAATATGTACATTTTATTAAAAATATTATTTTGTATAGGTTCACGACATATTCGCAGCGTGCGTGCGATAAGTATCTATAGATCGAGGGAGAGCTCAATATTGGATGGCGGTCAATCACAATGTAATTGGTTCGAGGAGCAAGATACCCGTGAAATGACTGCCCCTGACGGGGTCTCGTGTGCTTCGGGCTTTCTATTTAGTCCAACACCCTCAAGCTTTGATACTTTTAAGTTTAATTTAAAAGCTCTACATTCATTTGTTTTGTTTGCTCTACATTCAGAATAAGTATGTATAGAAATTAAATTGAAAGATTAAATTTTATTGTTATATTTTATATATAAATACATATATAATTACTTTTTAACTCAATAGATAAATTAACTTCAAAAGTCCCGTTCAAAGTCAGTATATATATTTTTTGAAATCGGTCAAAATTACAAAAGTACTTAATTGATGTTGCAACACATTTAGTAGCCGCATTTCATTGGCAACGTTTTCTAATTTTGTTTTAAATAAAAGTGAAATGAAAGAAAACATAGGAAATTTCTCTTTCTTATTCCCTCTCTCAATTTTGAAAAACTTACGACATGAAGTTGAACGTACGTCTATATAAAGTTGAAGAGTTCACTTTTCCATATGTTTGAATGCGCTAATCTCTGGAACTACAATGCCATATTTAAATAATTCTTTTTGCACTTTATATTAATATATTTTAGGCTAGATGTTGTAATAAAATGATGTAATAAAACACGGCTGGAGCCGCGGGATACACTTCTACTTAATATAGATCAAATAATGTACTGATCTAATTGGCACATATTTTTAGATAAATGGAATTTCGAATCCTTTTCTTTATTAAATAACTAGCGACTGACCCTCGCTTCGCTCGGGTTCGTCCGTTGGTTGATTCCCCATACAAATTTTCATCCCCATTTTCACCC